GCCATCTGTTTAAACGATTCACCTTGACTTCAGACAAATCCTCTTCTGGCAATTCAGAAAATGACCGGGCGTTAACGGTTGAAGATCAGTCGGCCTCGGCGAAAGAAATCATACTTCATACTCTTTACCCCCGCCTCCCACAAGCCTCCAAAGTAACTTCCTCTCTGCGGGATGAAGTGCCATTCCACGTTATCTTGTTGAAGGTAAGTTTTAACCTTGTTGTTTCTCTTCTGAGGCAATAAGGTTCTTTGCGAGCGCCAACGAAATTGGTACCATTGTCACTGTACATTGACTTCGGTTTCCCTCGTCTTGCGAAGAATCTCTTCAATGTTGCGATGAAAGTATCAGTACTGAGACTTGTAACCTATTCCAGGTGAATTGCTTTATCCGCTAAACAAACAAAGAGAGCAAGCCATGCTTTCTCGCTTCTACTTCCTCTTCCGTCACCAGTCTTGAACAAAACAGGACCAGCAAAATCAACTCCAGTGTTCACAAACGCTCGAGCTCCACTCGTGATGCGATCRGACGGTAGAGATCCCATGATCTGTTGCATGGTTTCAGCACGTTGCCGTCTGCATATAAACTTGTAACAAATCGTTGGATTAAGTTTCGTTTGACGAATTGTGGCCATGAGTAACTGTGGACCAGTTACATGATATTAAATGATCAGCTCAGTCAATCTGTGATTTTTCGGCAACAAAATAGGATGCTTTCAATCGTAGTATATCTGTGCTAGGTCAAGGCGTCCACCCATTCGTAAGACTCCATCGTCGTCCAAAAACGGGTTGAGAGCGAATAAGTTGCTTTTTAGATTGCCAATAACCTTCTTTTTCAGATGGCTGATTTCCTTGGAAAATCCATCAGCTTGCGCCGACTTGATCTACAGAATAAAGAGCTTTTTAATTCTGTCGTGACGAGAGGACCAGACCTCTTTTATATGGATAAAACGCGTCCATAAAAGTTGATTCGCTACGACGGCGATAAAAAGTAAACACTAGTTTCATTGACATGTTAACGTTCGTAGGCTTGTTGCACTTTCCTCTAATGTAGCTTTTCGTTATTTTTATCATATTCAGTGAATGAAAATTAACTATAAACTAAGTTATTGATGTGATTTATTTATAATTATCCAATTCAGCATTTGTAGTGGTATTGCTATTTAATGTCTCCGTACGTAGTTAAACACAGGCAGCATACGCAGACTCCGAGGCGTCACAAATTCCATGCAGCTCGTACTTAACAACGACAAATGATGACAAATTTAAATCCACAGCATGATTTAAAGTTCCCTTCAAAATCCCTCCAATGCCATTTATATTGAGTCAGCATAAACCAGTGCAGTGGCCAACAAACCTTTTTCCTTAAGAATAAATGCTTGTTCCAAAGAGGTAGAAACACTCGACGCATTTAAATTGTATCGTAGTTTGATCGCAAATAACTTCAAGCGAGTTTGTAAGACAAAACCGTCATTAAAAAGCACAAAAGTCGCTCAAGTAGACGCTATAAAATCTCAGTATGTATATAATAAACAAACTTCATCATGGAAAGTGCTTTTGTACGGGATTTTCGTACGAGTTGGTGATAAATCTAAAATCGAACGAGTGAGCGTAGCGAAAAGAAATCTATATGTCCTGAATATACGCTCACTCGTTCGTAGCGAATCAACTTTTATGGACGCGTTTTATCCATATAATAGTGTTCTGTTTTCTATACTTCTGTTGAAGATGAAGTACATCTATAAGGACTTATATCTAATACTGAGAAATTTGCCATATAAAATACAGCTTCTTTGAACAGTTCTAATGTTGTCGACGGTGGTTGACTTGACAAGCGCGGGTTTCAGTTTCAAACATCGAAATTGCCGTGCTGGAACTGAGTGAGTTTTCGCTGTGTCTTGGGGAATATACTGGTGGAATATTTGCATTAATTCTTTTAGATGTTGATCAAAACTTGAAAATATATCTTAAGGACCTGCTGGTTCAGAAACTTTCAATGTCTTTAGGCTTCACAATCATATTGAAGTCGCAGAGATGTCAGAGATGTATTCGTTCAGYTATTTGCTTTCGGTCTCTTGGAATTGGATTTCTTTGCTTAAGACCTTTTTTCCTCTCGGCGGAAATTCATCGAGTAGCTTTTCATCACTCACCGTTTTAGCTGTTGAATTTTTGTTTTTCTCCTGAAAATATTAGTTGTCAATTCACTCTCTAAAATACTTTGTCTCTACATAAATTGAAGTTGTTGATTGAATTCCGTGGTACGTTTTCACAAGTCTTTCCTGATTGGACGAAACGCTTTTCGCACGTGTGAAAAATTCGTTTTGCTCCTATGATTGGCTAGTTAATATTTTGAAACGGATTTTCAAATAGAAATATATGTGA